GTTTTGCTTATCGTAGAATTTCTTTAATTTGAAAATAATATTCCATAATATTGTTTGTTAGAAATTTTTGGTGGATAGAAATGTAACTTCTTCAATGGTTAAAATATTGTTTGGAAAAATTGCAATTGGTTGGCATGATAAAGGAATTAAAAAAATTATGTTTCTCCAACGTTTTTATGTGCGCCAAAAACGAACANTTAAAACATGCTGTCTTATTCAAATGTTTTCTGTCAGTCCATAACGAAAATTTAAAAGATGCATTTTGTAAATCTCGGTAACTAATTTCATCGAAATTAGTTGCATAGTCAAGCTACAAAATGCATTTTATATAAAACTCTGCATTTATCCTAAAATCCTTGTGAAACGTTTAATGTAAAATCTGCCAAGTGGTAAGAACTCTTTTCGCAAGAGAACCACAGGGATAGACATTGTGTCGCACGAAACATATAAATCCGAATAGAAGTTTTCCTACAACTGAAGGTACCTGCTTATGTCGAATGCTGCTTATAATATTTCTTACACTGTTACTGGATCATCCATTTCAATTGATCGAACAAATTCTGATGAAGTTGTTGCCTCGTTTATTTGACTGTTAATGATTTCATGATTTTTTGATGATTTTCATGATTCTTTGATTAGCTGAGAAAGATTCTTCTGGTGCCATGCATTTCCCTTACAGATTCTCGCGATTTGTATGTCATAAACGTACGTAAAAAATGTCCAAGCTTTCTTTTCTTTTCAAATTGATTGCTCAATGCATTTTCAATATTACATCTTTCACAGTGTAATAAAATTATTAAATTTGACAAAAAATGTGTTATTTTTTATCGTTTTAAATGATTCCATAGGTGATAATAAGTGTAAAAAAAACTTTTATACACGTTTTACAAATCTTATTGAGAACAAATGAACATATCCAATTATACATAGTTACGTCTTGTGTGATATATATTGTAACACGGAATACATAAACCTGCAGTCATCAGTCGACGTCACAGTCTGGGCAAAAATATCTCGTTTTATTTCTACCTTTCTTCCCACCAATTCGACGTAAACAGCATGCTATATATAATCTAGTCGGTTTTTCTTTGTTAGCAGTTGTTGGAATATATTCAATAAAAATGTCTTTTTATATAGTATCCCAACATATCATACTGTTTGGTCTAAAAAATGTACGAAAATTTTATAATAATATCTCCTCCCTCTGCTATATGTTACATCATAATATTTGATATTTTGATCCGATATATCAACGACTACCATTGTAAAATTGTAATCGTGTATGGCCATCGGAGTATTCTTGATTTTATTTTTTTTTTTCGTTACTGAAATGAACGCTGAATTGTGAATTGTGCGCGAAAAAAACGCGAACTCTCCTTTTGGTACTTAACGCTTTGCCCAAAATATTTCGGGATTCACTGCAAAAGTTAATTTAGAGCTCAATTTTATCTTCGAAAGAGACATGTAAAATTTATAATAAATCGTTGCGATCGTATTCGAGATATTACGATCACCAGGAATTGCAAATGTGATCTTGTGAAAAATTAGGTGTGTCTATAATGTCATGAGACTACTGCCATACCTTTTTTTATAAACGATTAAACTATTTAATATTATTATCATCTGCAAAGTAACTTCATTGGAAAATCGTACATCATCAAAGACCATATTTCCACTTTCCGTAACAGTGCTGAAATGGTTAACTTGAAATTAAAAACTTGAAACTGTCTTCAGTTGGTCTGTCAGAGCGATCCGGATACTGTCTGCAGTTTCAAAACTGCGATATTTCAGGTAGAAATTGAATTTGGGGAAGCAGAAATGGAATATGACACAAGACGGAAAGCTGCGATATTTTAGTATTTCATTAGATCTCTTTCAGGTAGAATTTGATTTTGTGGAAGCAGAAATGAAACATGACAAGTATGAATTTTAGTACTTCATCAGAATTCGACCTATTTGTTACACATCAATCGGACATCGGGTGTTCTCACATTAGCAAAATTATCTTACGCTTAATATCTATGCTTTTAAGGGAGGACATTCAGGCGAAAGTCGACTATATCTGTAATTTTCCAAATAAAATTTTGAAAATATGCATTTTGACAGCATTTCTTACACTGATTTGAACCACGTGCAAATTATTTTGCTAATTAGCTTCTTTAACTGTGAACAAATTTTTCTTTTATGAAAGAAAAATTGGATTGAAAAATCCGTATCAAATTCCCTTCAATATTATGTACAGAAAAAAATTTCAGCTCGAAAACTTTATTATTATTCAAGTTATTTCGATTTTAGTAATAATAATTGGCATTATGGCCGTCTACGTACCAATGGCAAAAATTTTATTCCGTGTACGAATAAGAGATAAACACTTAACGAGTACAATTTTATTTGGCACTATCAAATAAATATCCAATCGAATAAAGATTGATCTATTGGATTGGGGCAACTAAGTAATTGCCGATTTGTTCAATGAAATAAAAAATTTTTTTACTTGAAATGAAGTTTAATCTGCAACGTATTTTCCATTCTGTTCGATGACCTTTTGCCATCTCTCTGACAACTTGAAAATTCGACGCTCGTAGAAAGTCTGATCCTTTTCGGCCAAAAACAGTTAAGTGAGATTTTACTGCGTCATCATCATTAAAAGTTTTACCACGAAGGGAGTTGTCCAGGGATCGAAATAAGTGGTAATCCGATGGCGCGAGA